CGTTACAGAGGAAGGATCAAAACGTTGCCAACGTACGGAAAAGCGCACTGAATAGCAAATATTACTGTTTTTAACTACAGAAACTAGAATGCGGTAGTAGGGAAAGGATTCACTACAATGGATTTTTTTACAAAATACGACTATTTTGCCAGACTGTCAAACAAAACTGGGAAAAAATTTTACCTTATATAGGAAGGCGACTTTTAAAATGGACTCAAGTAAAAAAACAGGCATTAATTACTTAAGAATATCCAGATAAATGCAGAGCTTCACTTATCTTTGAAATTGAGCTGCGCGCCTTGACCTTGTGGATTCAGATCTCTTAATCTATCATTTACTGTACTTATTGCTGCATGTGACAGTCGGAAGGCCTTTTCCCGCGGACTTTTTGGCCACAAGTTCAAAAGACTTCTCATAACGCCTAGACACACCAAATGAAGGGAATCTAGAGGGAAGGAGCTAACCATTCCTAAACTGCACGCCTGACGACACGCCAATACGGTGACAGCCGTCGGTGGTGGATAAAAAATCCTCATGTGCCTTAACACGTTCAGATACGCTGTCGCACAGTAGTTGTCAACGTAATCGCCCCTTACATAGCATCGTTCGCAGCCATAGTAGTCAGTGACGTTTTTAATTTGCCTGGCGAAGTCCCTAATCGGGGAATCACACATTACAGCGCCCAATTTGAAGTGCTGTGTTCGGTCAATATCGTCGACACGTAGACCAAACCTACCCAGAGATAACAATTCTCCATTCCGCGGTCCGCAAAACGACTGCGCATATGAGGGCTTACCAAAGCCGCAATAAATAACTACAAGAAATATTTCACTAATAAATGGTGCCATTATTCTACCTAAGATATGTTATGATTCGGCCTGGTACTCGAAAGCACGTGGGAGCGTATGCGTACTCGACCCTTGTCCCCAATGCCTACTCGTCAGAGAAGTAGAACGCGACCGGCCATGAAAGTGTGTATTAGGGAATCGCAAGACAAAATTAACTGCATGAAACGCATAGTTATAATGCTCTACTGTGCTTCGCCGGCATTCGGCCCAATGCCCTTCGAAAAGAATATTCCAGACGAGTCGGTCGATAATTCGAATATGCAGATAGACCAGGCCCGAGGGAAAAAACCAGTGGAGAGGTGCCACGATTAAGATGACAGCGCTGTAGAGAAAACGCATATGGCCTCCGTGATTGGCTGGCTCTTGTTTTTGGGAGCGTAGGCACTTCCAACATGATAGGCCAAAAATCACGCTTAATTTTTTGTGCATAGACAACCCGCCAATAGCTGAATACGCAACTAACTCGACGTCAGCTATACGCATGTAGGAGACACTAAACTGGTCAGTTAGCTACCTTACAAGTCAAAAATGGACGTACTCACCACTGACCATTGCCGTTCCTGTGGCCCCATTGCCTATCCCACCCAGCAACGCGTCCGAAGGCAGATCTGAGGACAGCGTTCTCAGGATTTTGGGAAGATTGGTCAGATGAACTAGCGGAAAGCGAGAACGTACTGTCAACGATTGCAGTTCCTATTTCACGCTGGGCTCCGAGTACCAAGAAACCGCTAGATGACCGTCACTGAGGTCGTGTCGACTAATCTAGACTAGTATATGATGCCATTTAAGGGAAACCGGCTTCCTTGTCAGAAGAGAAATTTTCCGTGTAGGTGGAGGAACTAGAGGATAAGATAATATCCCATGACAATGACGATGAGTCGGACGGATACCTTTTCCTCATATTCTCTGCAATTGCCCGAAAAGGTTCACGTTGACCACGATGAACACATCTACTGAGGGTTCTCTTCGCTGTTTTCTTAAACATTCTGCGAAAAATAAGAAAACTAGGTTGTGGAAAAGATTAATCAATGCAGATTTAATGGACAACGTGAGAGCAGTAACCGCATGTGTGCAGCAGGGTGGGTGAGAAGAAAGTGGCGTAACAGACCGCTCGCACGAAAGCAAGCGCGTCGTCCGATCGATTTCCGAATCATCAGGCGTGCAGTCATCTGCGCGGTTAGCAACGCCAGGCCCATGGTCCGGGGGAGCAAATCAAAAGGCAGCAATGAACGAATGACAACAGTCTAACTTAGAGTCAGCTTACAATGCTATTAGGGTACTGGCCTTTTCATGGTTGTTCTGGTCGACTACAGTTTAATTCCTCCTTTTATTGACATATACGATGATTCAAATGGCTTCACCTGCTCCTGTGGGGCAGAATATATTGGTCGCACGAGCCGGCGTTTATCCAAAAGAATGAAAGAACATCTCCCGGCATGGTTAGGGAAGGGACAAATAAAGAACATCAACAGCTCGATCCTCGAGCACATGGTAGACACAGACCCCCGTGTAGACGCCAGAGAGGCATTCAGAGTGATCTACAAGGTCCCATCAAGCTATCCAAAAGTGCTTGGGCAGCGCTCGTTGGCTACGGCAGAGGCGGCTGCAATCAGGCTACGCCGACAGGTCCTATGCGCACAGAAGAACTTCATACAGGTCTCACAGTTACCATGGCTCAAAACCACCAAGCCAGCCACCCGCATGTAATTACCTTCGCCGGGACCAACCTTCTCCCTGGCGCTGACTGGAATTGTGGTGTTTCACTTTCCCCCTCCACTCCCCTCCACTCTCCAAACCCGAGCTACAGCTTAATTATCTACTTGCCCGTATCTTTTAATTCATTATTTCAATAGCCATATAAATGTACAGGCCTGAAGAGAATTTATCGCAAGCAGATATATGCTCGACAAATTGCCTTTTGGAAATAAGTTATATTTTATTACGCCAACCAAGACATGCATAATGACCGGCAAAACAGTTCCAGTCTAGAGTAGAGCTTACGTAGAAACTTCTGACGGTGCATAAGTTAACCTGAGAATTACCATCACGGCAAGAAAATTGCGTCACGAGCAGGATTTGAACCTGCGCGGGGAAACCCCATTGGATTTCAAGTCCAACGCCTTAACCGCTCGGCCATCGTGACACGCCTCCGAGCGTTAATTATATTATACTTAACCAGTTTAATTCCTCGCGTCACGACCTCTTAATAGTTAACTGGGTTTAGCCATCCTCTGTTCAAGGCTTCAGCTACGGAAATAAAGGTGATCTGTGAATCAAGCAGACAGGATTCTGCTATCGCTGAACAGGCAATCTTAAAATGGGAGACGAGCTATACGTGCTTATTAACTTTCAGCGTATGCTTTGCACGTGCGTTCGGAAAGAGCAGCGATAATGCTAAGATATATTGGCTAAAACGAACGTTCGAAAACCTGTTTACTAAAGCCGGTATACTAGCGTTGTTCACAATCCGTTGCAGAAGGGTAACCAATCGGAAAGATCTGAAGTCAGAGCCGGTCCAGCATTCCAAATGTGGGCTCCACAACTTCCATTTCAGACAAAAATTATCTGAACTCCGATATGACTTCACCCAGGAAAACGCAATAGTGGCAATAAACATTCTAAAGTGAAAAAGGGCGAATAAAAAACTAGCTCATAACTACCATGCAGAATACAACGATAAAGGGAACCCTAGAGTACATTTCTTGCGTTTCTAAGGCCCGAGCAACATATTTTCCCTGAATACACTGATATTCTTCTGTAGGATGAGAAACCTTCGATAATCCAAAAAGTTTAAGTCTAAGCAAAACAGAGTCAGGGTGTTATTTGGGGTCATCACTAAGTCCACCTAGATTAATTTTGAAAGACAAAGTCCAGGACGCTTCTAGTTGAAGGAAGTACAGAAGTACGAACTTCGCAAAAACGTTTTTTTTCATTTGGAGTACGAACCGAGGGAAAGAGTGAAAATGAGGAGAATGGGATAAAACTGAGGGAGTAAAATGTTTTCGAGCGCAGTGCAAACGATTGAGTTTTTTTTTTACTGATTGCATAAAATTGCTACGGATAGTCAATAAGATTGAAACTGGCTTCTCATACGGCTCTTCATACAAACGCAGGCAGAAATAAGAATATAAGCATATGTTACGTCAAAAGTCGGTCGGAATGAGAGAGGGTTTCATGCACACACGCGATATGAGCGATAAGGAGCGCAATGCAGCTGAGACTACTGAGAAGTATCATGGGATACAGAGTTGAAAAACAGTAATTAAGTGAACCTATAATGAATAAATTCATACATTATGGTAAGTCGGGCGCGAATCTTCACAAACCTGTTATTCGAATCCCGACCGTCAGTCGGAGCCTTGCAGCTCAGACGGTTAAAGTGTTGGCTGAACACAAGCATTATGACGTTGGGGATAGTACACGCAGGGTAACGGAAAGCAAATGGACTAGCTTCAGGCGTAAAATGGGCCGAAGAGAGTCATTAGACACATCATTGCACACATTCGGACGCGCGAAAAACGTCTCCATTACATTTTAAACAAGTCTTTTCAGTTCGTGGTCCGTCACAACACTTCAATTTCTTTTGCGTTTTCGAAACACGCCATCGCCACCGAGATTTTTTAGCGGCCGAATAAGGAGGAGCTCCGGAAAACTCGGGAAGACCTGAGTGGGAATGTGATGGCTTGCGGTCTTTCGTATGGGTATCTAAAGAAAACTCCTCTAAAAGTCGCGTAACTCCATCATACACACTAGCAAAGGAAAGGGGTGGAGTGGACATAATAGCGACAGATGAACTGATATAAAAGTTTATTAGTAAAACGTTGGTGACACGGTAGAAAAATAAGTTTAATGCGATCTATGACGTAAGGTAAAAATAGTGGGTACAGACTACTAATCAACTAAGAGAGTACAACTTAATCCTATGGTTCGATAAAACGTGAAACACGGGAAAAGATTAGTTAATGGTGAAACAAATGAGACGGAAAACGAATCTGCAGTTCAGGAATACGGAAACGATAAGGAAAAGGGGACTTAGCGGAGTGCGTGTCGACAGGCGTCAGCTCCGATCCACGTGACCCAAACTCTGAAAAGGGGAGGGCGGGAAGTAAAAAAGGTCCGTTTAAAACAATCGGTCGTTACATCGCCCCCCTCTTAAGGTACAGCACTGTCCTCAGTGCTGGTGGGGTCGATGGGGGAAGGGACGGAGACCTCGATGGCTACCGGGGGAACTAGGTCTAGGGGGATGACGGGTAGGGAATCGGGAGTGCAATTGGGTAGGCGCCCTCGGTAAGGTTTGCGCTTAGAAAAGTGTGCCGTAAAGGAGGGGAAATCAGGGTGGACGGCGTCGCGTAACAGGAATGTGGTGGGGGCGAGCACGTCGAGTACGGTAAACGGTCCTTGCCATGGGTGGTGGAGTTTAGCGGAGTTGCCATGTGGGGGTACGGGGTTGTAATGCATCACCAAGTCGCCAACTTGGTGTGGGGTGCCAGCGGTGCGGCGGTCAAACTGCTCTTTTTGGTGCTGGGTAGCAACTCCCAAAGCAACGCGGGCAGCGTTATGAGCTGAGCGTATGACCCCTCGGAGGTGCGTGGCGTACTCGTGTAGTGTTGACGGGTCGGGTGTGGGTAGGGGGTAGCGAAGGTCGGCCGGGAGGCGTAGGTCACGGCCAGTCCAGAGGTAGTGAGGTGTGAACCCCGTGGAAGAATGTACTGTTCCGCGATAAGCTAGCAGACACAGAGGTAGATGTGCGTCCCAGTCATGCTCGTGCCCGTCCCGTGAGAATGCCAGTAAGAGGTCGTGCAGCGTGCGGTTGGTCCTCTCTACAAGGCCGTTGCCTTCGGGGTGGTACGGGGTAGTTCGGGTTTTGCGCATCTCTAGGATCTCGCAGACGTCTTGTAGGAGCTGGGACTGAAAATTAGCGCCGCAGTCGGAATGGAATGACAAGGGGGCGCCCCAACGGCTAATCCAAGTGCGGCTAATGGCATTTGCGACCGATGCCGCGTCCTGGCGGAGGAGTGGCACTGCTTCCACCCACTTGGTGAAATAGTCCACCATGACTAATACGTACTCAAACCCGAGCACCGATATCGGAAAGGGTCCTACAATGTCCAGGCCGACACGCTCTCCCGGAAAGCCAGTGGTCATAGGTTACAGCGGGGCACGCGGTGAGGAGGAGGGGGGTTTGAACGTAGCGCATGTGGCGCAGGACTGACAGAAGCGTTGTACGGCCGAACGTAGTTGAGGCCACCAGAAGCGGCTGCGAGCAGCGAGTTCCGTGCGGCGTTGGCCGCTGTGCCCGAGCTGTGTGTTGAGGTCAGTGAGTACGGACTCTACTAAGCATCCGGGAACGACGGGACGTAGCCGGTTGGAAGTGGGGTCGCGGAGAAACAATATGTCATTCTCTACGGTGAGGTAGGGCCACTGGTTGAGCAATAGGCGGGCGCTCTGGCTGGCGCCTCTCATTTCCGCTCGGTAGGTTTGGGAAGCCCTAGACTCATGTGGCGGTAAATAGTGGCCGTGTCCGAGTCCGTTTTTTGCGCTGTTGCCCATTCGTGGCGTGTTGGCTCCGACACGACAATAGCGTTAACGCCGGCTGTCTGTATATCGGGGTCTGCGTCAGTGACGTGGGGCAAGCGGGAAAGGGCATCTGCGTTGCCATGCTTGTGGCCCGGGCGGTATTGGCATTCAAAGTCAAAATCCTGAAGGAACTCCTGCCAGCGTGCCAGCTGGTCCATGGGGTCCTTGAAGGACCGCAGCCACTGCAGGGCCCTGTGGTCTGTGCGGAGAACGAAGCGTCGTCCGACCAGCAGGTGTTTGAATTGACGCAGGAACACAACGATCGTCAGGATTTCGCGACGGAAGTTACAATAATTCCTCTGTGGTTTAGTGAGAGTATTGCTTGCGAAGCAGATCGGGTGCTCTACTCCGTTCGCGTCGGCTTGGGAGAGTACGGCGCCGATGGCGTACCCACTGGCATCAGTGTCTAATATGAATGGGGGTGCGTCGTCGTCAACGTTTGGGAGGGCAAGTAGGGGAGCCGAGCACAGGGCGGCGCGGAGGTCGGTGAACGCACGTGCCCAGTCGTCCGACCAGACGAAGGGTCTGACTTTCTCCGTGAGTTTGTGCAGGGGGTTGGCGATATGAGCAAAACCACGGATGAAACGACGGTAATATGATGCTAACCCCAAGAAACTGCGTAATTCCGTTTGGTTGGAGGGGGTTGGCCACGTGCGGATACATTGGATGCGGTCAGGCAGGGGGGAGATGCGCCCGGGAGAGATTAGGTGACCCAAAAAATTTACCTCGCGGCGTACAAAAAGGCGTTTCGTGGGGTTAAGGGTCAGACCAGCGGAGCGGAGGGCTTCCAATACCGCGCGCAAATTGTGGTTGTGTTCGTCGATAGACCTCCCAAACACTATAATGTCGTCGAGGTAGACGAGACACTTGTCTGGAATGAGGGGTTGAAGGACGCGATACATAAGACGTTGGAAAGTGGCGGCTGCGTTTCACAGGCCAAACGGAAGGGCCTGGAACTCATACAGACCTTGGGGTACCGTGAACGCGGTTTTATGGCGGTCGTCTGGATGAATCTAAACCTGCCAATAACCGGATTTGAGGTCTAGTGTCGAGACCATGCCGCATTTCCTAGGGCGTCTAGGGTGTCGTCTAACCGCGGGAGCGGGAAGGAATCACGAACTGTCACGGCGTTAAGGCGACGATAATCGACACACAGCCGGACGGATCCGTCCTTCTTGGGGACGAGGGCTATGGGAGAAGCCCATGGGGACGGCGAAGGCTGGATTATTTTAGCCTGCAGCAGTTCATCTAATAGCTTGTTGACTTCTTCGCGGTAGCGCAATGAGATGCGGCGTGGGGGTTGCCACACGGGCTTGGCGTCTCCCGTGTCGATCGTGTGCTGAATCAAGTGGGTGCGCCCGATGGTGTCGGTGGACCAGGTGAAAAGGTCTGGGAAGGAGTTCAGGAGGGTCTTTAGCTGCTCGTGCGCGACCGGACCGATTAGGGAGGGGGCGGGAAGAACGGTATCTAAGGGGGTAGGCTCTAGCGCTACGGCGGAAAGTACTGAGTTGTACATGATGTCGAGATCGTCTATAGTGGCTGGAGAGGCGGGTGCGGTGGTGGTTCTGCCGAGTGTGAGTTGTCGTTCGCGGACATGGACTACGCAATCGTGAGCCTCTAGGAAATCAAGGCCGAGAACGATAGGCCAGGGGCCATCAGGGGTAACAAGAAACCTATGGGCGATACGCGCGTTTTCGATCATAAGCTGTAGCGAAACAGTGGCCGATACGGGTATCGCCGTGCCGTTGGCGGCGCGGAGGGAGCGGGAGCCGGAAGTGGGTCCACGTGACGCAGTAGTGGTTGGGAAGTTTGTGGATGGTGACAAGCGACACATTTGCGCCCGTGTCTACTAACGCCCGAGTGGGGTGACTATGCACACGTACCGGCACAGTAAAAGCAGGGACAGAAAAAAAATCGTGAAAGTAAATGGCATCTATGGGGGTGGACTCACAGGGTGGGTTGTGGCCGCAGTGGCGAGCTCGTGGTCCGAAAGCCGCGCAGTACTGGCAGCCAGGGTTGTGGTCAGGGAATCGGACCGGCAAAGTGCTCCGTCTATCTGGGGTTTGGGGCTCCGGTTGGGCTGGGGGTAAAGGGGGTCTCGGAGGGGGTTGGTGGGTTCGGTGATAAGTAAGATAAAGACGGCACTGCCGCAAGGCGTCGTTCAAAGTACGCGGGGGGTGGAGGAGAAAGGAGTCGGTGATCGTGCGATCGAAGAGGCCTGAAATGAAACGGTGGAGGATGAGGTCGTCCCGATCGGGTTGGGGTAAATTGGGGAAGGCCGCGGAGGCAAGTCGGGTGAGTTCCGTCGCAAAGTCGTCAACAGATTGCCGGGGGGCCTGGCGTAACTTGGCAAATTGCTCTGCCGCGATGCCAGGCGCGTCAGGGGTGTCGAACAGCTGCACGACGCAACGGCAGGCGACGGGAAAAGGAGTAGCTGGTGTAAGGCCGGCATCGAAGGCGCGTCGCCTGGCAGATGGGGAAAGGAAACGTAGTAAGAAACACGTATGTTGATGGGATGGGACGTCAGTCAAGAAAAGATCTAAGTCACGCAGCCAATCACGGATGTTGTGTCCGGGTTCATAGGCGTCGGGGGCTAACAGGGGGCTGGGCGCTGATGTGTAAAGACGGTCGGTGGGAGGGGCCACTGGAGTAGGGTGGGGAAAGGGTGGATCAACGAAAGGGTTCGTGGGCGAAGTAGCTGCCACCAATGTAGCGGCCGAATAAGGAGGAGCTCCGGAAAACTCGGGAAGACCTGAGTGGGAATGTGATGGCTTGCGGTCTTTCGTATGGGTATCTAAAGAAAACTCCTCTAAAAGTCGCGTAACTCCATCATACACACTAGCAAAGGAAAGGGGTGGAGTGGACATAATAGCGACAGATGAACTGATATAAAAGTTTATTAGTAAAACGTTGGTGACACGGTAGAAAAATAAGTTTAATGCGATCTATGACGTAAGGTAAAAATAGTGGGTACAGACTACTAATCAACTAAGAGAGTACAACTTAATCCTATGGTTCGATAAAACGTGAAACACGGGAAAAGATTAGTTAATGGTGAAACAAATGAGACGGAAAACGAATCTGCAGTTCAGGAATACGGAAACGATAAGGAAAAGGGGACTTAGCGGAGTGCGTGTCGACAGGCGTCAGCTCCGATCCACGTGACCCAAACTCTGAAAAGGG